ATCTGTATAGTTATAAGGGGAATTATAAATATTTTGCCTCTAACTTTCTGTTGCTATCATTATAGAATACAATAGATACCATGGAATAAAATGGAATCCAAAGCGGAGAATTAGAGGATTGTAATGAAACAATCCTCTGGGAGGGAGTGAACATATAAGGTAAAGTGTCTTATTTCATTTAATATGGTAAATGCCAGCACGATCCTTGTTACTGTTCTCTCCAAGTTGACAGTTTTCACGTGACCCCCTCTGGATAGCTACAAGAATTCATTCGTACTGCACTAATGTATGAAACGAAATCCTCCTTATGGATTTATGAGGTTATGCTTCAGACGAAAGGGCAGTCTCGGATAATAAAATCGTTTACTGTTAATGACACACGCAAACGTTATAAGGAACATGATTAAAATATATGCACATATTGTGTATCAATAAACAACATACTTCGATTATGCCAATGCTGCACGTCAATATACAGACATTGTGCAATCAGTAAATGCACTTTTACCAAATTCCAACGTGCAATGACTTATGTCAAGCTTATGACTTATGCAAGCGCTTGAAGCAGGCGAAATGCTGCATCGACATAACGTCACCCCACTGTCCGGACTTAAGCAAAGTTGAACGACCAAAAGAAGATAGAACCAGCGAGCAATTGTTCGGCAAGCTCAGTGTGTGGAGTGGTGCCGTTGAGTCAAACACGATAAAGCGTAAAATATTTCTTAACAATACTTCGTGAAATGTTTAGTGAATAATTGTGATAGACGAAGATGTTGAGGAAATAAAAATAAAAAAGGATATTATAGAACAGTGATTAGAAACGGTTTTGACGTTTCTAATGACAATGCCCCGATGGAAGATAAAAATGACGACATCAACACTACAGCTTGAACAAATATATGACATTTAAATCGTTGTAGGAGACGCAAAAATGGGTAAGGAAGGTATCTTTGGCGCTACTGCCAGAAAGTTCAGTCTTCATACAGAGACTTCTGATAATGGAAGAAGGCTGATTGAATTCACCGCGGCTAGAAACGTGGTGGTTAGCAGTACCAGATTCCAACATTTCAACACGATAAGACAATATGGCTGTCGTCAGATCAAAACACAAGATCTCAAATTGAAAACGTAGTGATAGACGGAAGGCATGCTTTCAGTATCTTGGATGTACGTACTATCCGAGGAGCTCACATCGACTCGGATTATTATGTTGTTGCAACCAAGATTCGCAAAGGTATGTGAATAAGTGCAGTGAAAGTTAGATATCGATAAACTGCAATTACAACAGATAGCAAATGAATTCGCTACTCAACTCTCCCGTTATTTGGAAAATGAATCTAAAGAAATCGATATATGCGCACAATGGAGGTGATTGGCTATCATCGTAGACAAAGAATCAACTGGTACAACCAAGAGTGTCGTGATGCTACAGCACAGAAAAATGCAGCATATCAACCTACTCTGCGATCAGTTGCGACGCGCGGTGCTTAAGAAAGATATCAGCAAATGAAAAGGGAAGAGAAACGTTTTTCAAGACGAAAAAAGAAGTAAGCAGAAAGAAGTGAGTATGAAGAGCTGAAGAAGCTGGACGACAGGAATATGGCTCGAAAATTCTACAAAAAAATCAAAAGCCTTACAAATGGTTATAAACTCGGAATTATTTTATATTATTAATAGTTTTGACGTGAAGTCGCCTAACAACTGGTACTGCGGCCAAAAGAATATGTTTATGTTTGTATTTAATTAATATTATTTTATATTTTTGTTTTTTTTGTTATGATATTTGGTTACATGTGTTTACATATTATTTGGGCCAACGCTGCGACCAGTCATTGATCAACGAAAAGTGCAATTTTGCATTATCAGCTTTTCTTGTTGGTCAATGCACTGAAGAAAGTGTGTAATATGTTGGCCTATATTTATGTCAGCACAGCGTAGGCAAATTTATTTATTTGTGAATTATGCATTAATATTTATTGTCAATTAATGCATAATTTAATAGCTTGTTAATAAAATAATTTTGTATAAATATAAGAAATAATTTTAATAAAGTTCAGAAGGAACAGAAAAGAAAAAGAAACGAAATCAATTATAACTTTCTTACTTTCTCGCATCGATTAGTTTGGGTTTCAAGTGCTCAAACTAATCAACATAGAAAATACAAGTAGTTTGGGTTACAAGTGCTCAAACTACTTTACACATAAAAATTGGCTACCAAGCTAACACAGATTAAGGATCTGGGTTAGCACCAAGTAGCGTACATTTTTTGGTGACACCGACGTGATTATTGATATAATATCAATTTTCATTTCATTATCCTGACGAAGAACACTTCGAAGGAGTCAATTACCTACAAAAGGACACACCAAAAGGTCTACTTATTAACCAGCTGAAGTATTTATTCATCGGAATTTTCGGACCGAAAATTCAAACATCGCCATGGATGTGTTATTAAAGAAGCAGTCAGAGCTCGGTACAGAGATTGAGCGACTGATAACCAACTTTAAAAAGGACTCTAGTATCCGGAAGCAGGATACCATTTACTATGAAGACCGACTAAAGAAGCTAAATTCCCTATGGAATGATTTTGAAATAAATGATGCTGAAATCAAAGCATTGCCACAACCTGAACTCGAACACGAGTATTTCAGTACAGGTTACTTTGAAAAAATCTCCAATCTAGTAGTCAAATATGATGAACGATTCAAGTTGGAGAAATCAAGGCTAATCCCAAAACCACAGGACGGGAAGCCAGTAGTAAGCCCAAGAGGGTCAAACAAAGCTACATCGCTCATGCGAAACATCAAAAAGCAATCCTCATTAATGCATGCATTACGCGCAAGCATAGATGAAATTTATGAGGAAATTACCATAAAACATCATCCTAGTTATTATGATCTGAAATATTCTCTGATAGAAAAATATCAGAAGGATCTGAGGGATAACAATGATGAAATATGGTCATCAGCCGACGCAGAAGACATCGTCGGATATACTTGGGATCAATACTATTCAACGGATAAAGATGCCCAAAACGCGTTGATTTATTTTAAAATAACACAGTCAACCAACTGAAGGATTGACGGCAGCAACTCAACAAATCAGACTTCCAAAAATAGTTTTACCAACATTTGATGGAGACTATTTGAAATGGATTGAATTTAGAGATTTGTTTCAAAAATTAATCCATGATCAATCAATAAGCGCAGTTCACAAAATGTTCCATCTATCTACAAATTTGGCGGGTGAGCCGAAAGCCCTCATACGGCATCTGCCAATTTCCGAGCAAAATTACAATATAGCTTGGGATATTCTGTCAAATCGGTATGACAACAAACAACTCTTGGTGACAGCATTACTAAATAAATTGTTATCACAACCAAATATAACAATTGAATCAGCAAGCAGTCTTAAGGGCATACATGATGTTACAAAAGAATGTTATTATGGATTAGCAGCTCAAGGTATTGATGTTAAATCTTGAGACGCCATAATGGTTCACGTAATTATTAGAAAGCTAGACAAAGCTTCACATACAGCATTCGAGCAATCGTTAGAAGACAGCCGAAGAATAATTTCATTAAAAGAATTATTGCGGTTCCTAGAAGGAAGATTTCAGGCATTCGAATCAATGACGAATGGAAACCACAAACAAAGTCACAAACCACGACATCCAGCAGTAGCACTTGCAGCTACAGACTCAGGATCAAAATGTATTACTTGCAATAGTAGTCATCAATTATTTTCATGTGAAACTTTCAAACGTAAATCCATACAACAGAAGTATGATTTACTAAAACGTCATAAATTATGCACAAACTGCATGAAACCTGGTCATATGGCATTACAATGCTCCAGCAGGAGTTGTACTATATGCCAAAGAAGACATAATACACTGTTGCATCAAAATAGACACCCAGTTCAACCATCAAATCATAAGTTAGTTCAAAACACTTCAAGGCCACTTGCACAAACAACTCTAATGTCATCCATCAATCATGGTCATACCAGTTGTGTTCTTTTGGGAACAGCAAAACTTTTAGCATCTAACTCTAATGGAAGAACAGTCGAGTGCAGAGTAGTATTGGATTCAGGTTTACAAATAAATATTGTGACTGAACGACTGGCATCCAGATTGGGTCTGCAAGTAAGCTCCAGTTCGATTTGCATCGAAGGCATAGGGATAGGTAAATTCAGTTCTAAAAGTCGTACAACACTTTCTGTGCAATCAAAAGCGACCGATTACAAAATAATACTTGAAGCATTTGTGTTGCCAAAAATTGTATCCAATCAACCATCGCAACACTTACAAATTTCAAATTGGAATCTGCCCAATAATATCCAATTAGCAGATCCTACATTTTATAAGTCTGACAAAATTGAAATGTTGCTTGGAGCAGAATTTTATCATCAATTCCTAAGTCCTGGTAAAATACAACTTTCAAGGGAACTACCAATTCTACAGAACACTGTGCTCGGATGGATCGTATCTGGAAAAATCCAAAATGCTAACACAATGATTGCAACATGTGGAATAGCATCAGAAGATAGTTTAGAAAATGCAATATAACAACTTTGGAAGGTTGAAGAAGTTGATACTCACTCAAAGGTCTTGTCAATAGCAGAGCAACAATGTGAAGCTCAATTCACTCAAACTACATATCAGAATGTTACGGGACGATTCATCGTACGTCTTCCTTTTATAAATGACAGATTCGCTTTGGGAGATTTGAAAGACATTGCTACAAATAGATTTCTAGCACTAGAGCGTAGACTTTCAAAGGATAGTCACCTCAAACGACAATACATAGAGTTTTTAGATGAATATGAAAAATTGGGACATATGACCGAAATAGATATTGAAAGGATTATGTCACCACATTACTTTATCCCACACCATTGTGTGCTTAAACCCGACAGTACCACCACCAAGTTACGTGTGGTATTTGATGCATCATCCAAAACAACATCATGTTGTGTTTACAACAGACATTGAAAAGATGTACCAACAAATACTTGTACATCCAGAAGACAGACAATGTCAGCTTATCGTTTGGAGAAATGAACCAAGTCAACTTATAAAATACTTTGAACTCAACACAGTAACATATGGTACTAGATCAGCACCGTATCTAGCAACCAAATGTTTGCAAGTTTTAGCTGATGACAATATGCAAAATTCATTCCTCACCACTGGAGTGGACTTTTGCGGACCTTTTTGGATACATTACAGAATCCGAGGCAAGAAACCACACAAGGCATACATTGCTGTGTACTGTTGTTTTACAATTAAAGCAGTTCATCTCGAAGCATTCATCGGATCACTGAAACGTTTTATTGCTCGAAGAGGACATTGCAAGAATTTGTTTTGTGACAATGCCACAAATTTCGTGGGAGCAAGCAATCAATTACTTGAACTTGCAGACTCAATTCAAACAAGCAAGGCAGAAGAGAAGATAATTAATGAATGCAATGAAAGAGGAATAACATTTAAATTTATACCTCCTCGTGCACCACACTTCGGTGGACTGTGGGAAGCAGCAGTCAAATCAGCAAAACACTTATTGATACGAAGTACTAAGACCACGTCACTAACATATGAGGAACTAGAGACTGTGGTATTAGAAGTTGAAGCAATACTGAACTCTCGACCATTGACACCTATGTCGAGTAATCCGAATGACTTGTCAGCACTAACACCTGGTCATTTCTTAATCGGAGAACCACTCACAGCAATGGCAGATGCAAAGGCCCAATCAGGAAATATAAATCTGGTGACAAGGTGGAAATTAGTTTCTCGCCTCAAATTGAACTTTTGGGAACGTTGGAAAACCGAGTACCTCACTGAACTACAATGTCGACACAAATGGAAAGCAGCCAATCCAAATATAAAAAAAGGTACCCTTGTAATCATCAAGGAAGACAATGTTCCTACATTAAAATGGCCGCTTGGACGTATTTCAAAGGTATATAAGGGAGATGACGGTCTTGTTCGCGTGGTTGATGTTAAAATGGCTTCAGGAACTCTAAGACGTCATTTGACAAGACTAGCGCCTCTGTTTCCAGCCGATAACCAATCTCCTGTTTCTGATGAACAACTTTCAAAAAGTTTTACAAAAGCGAATTCGAAAACAACACACGAAGGCGCAGTTCAAGACGAGCCACCTAAAAAGTATTCACGGCCAATGTCTAATTCATTACTGTGCACAATGTTATTATCTCTATTATTCCTGCCATTGGTATTAGGGAATTCAGTGAATGTAACACGTTTCGACAATAATTTAGGAATATACTTTGAATCCATTGGCTTGATGAAAGTAGCAACGGCAGAATGGAAAATGATTGTTTACTATGATCTTCATCCATATTGGACCGAAATGGACTCATTCAACAACGGGACTAAAACCATCAAACGTTTATGTTAAGAATTACAAAACCAGCTAACTAAGGAAAACTTGACGTATCTTCCCTCTAGAGTGCGATTAAACAGTATTCATCATCATACGATAAGTTATTTGGCGTTGTTAATTTCTATAACAATAATAATAATCATTTCTTGGAAAACCAAACATAACATATGTCAGAAACACACAATAAGCGAAATTTCAACACGAGGAAATGATATGCAGAATGCAGAATTACGTCAACAAAATTTGGACTTCACTGTGACCACAACCTAGGACAAGTTGAGTTGGCACTCAACGGCGGGGAGAATGTTTATGTTTGTATTTAATTAATATTATTTTATATTTTTGTTTTTTTTGTTATGATATTTGGTTACATGTGTTTACATATTATTTGGGCCAACACTGCGACCAGTCATTGACCAACGAAAAGTGCAATTTTGCATTATCAGCTTTTCTTGTTGGTCAATGCACTGAAGAAAGTGTGTAATATGTTGGCCTATAATTATGTTAGCACAGCGTAGGCAAATTTATTTATTTGTGAATTATGCATTAATATTTATTGTCAATTAATGCATAATTTAATAGCTTGTTAATAAAATAATTTTGTATAAATATAAGAAATAATTTTAATAAAGTTCAGAAGGAACAGAAAAGAAAAAGAAACGAAATCAATTATAACTTTCTTACTTTCTCGCATCGATTAGTTTGGGTTTCAAGTGCTCAAACTAATCAACATAGAAAATACAAGTAGTTTGGGTTACAAGTGCTCAAACTACTTTACACATAAAAATTGGCTACCAAGCTAACACAGATTAAGGATCTGGGTTAGCACCAAGTAGCGTACATTTTTTGGTGACACCGACGTGATTATTGATATAATATCAATTTTCATTTCATTATCCTGACGAAGAACACTTCGAAGGAGTCAATTACCTACAAAAGGACACACCAAAAGGTCTACTTATTAACCAGCTGAAGTATTTATTCATCGGAATTTTCGGACCGAAAATTCAAACATCGCCATGGATGTGTTATTAAAGAAGCAGTCAGAGCTCGGTACAGAGATTGAGCGACTGATAACCAACTTTAAAAAGGACTCTAGTATCCGGAAGCAGGATACCATTTACTATGAAGACCGACTAAAGAAGCTAAATTCCCTATGGAATGATTTTGAAATAAATGATGCTGAAATCAAAGCATTGCCACAACCTGAACTCGAACACGAGTATTTCAGTACAGGTTACTTTGAAAAAATCTCCAATCTAGTAGTCAAATATGATGAACGATTCAAGTTGGAGAAATCAAGGCTAATCCCAAAACCACAGGACGGGAAGCCAGTAGTAAGCCCAAGAGGGTCAAACAAAGCTACATCGCTCATGCGAAACATCAAAAAGCAATCCTCATTAATGCATGCATTACGCGCAAGCATAGATGAAATTTATGAGGAAATTACCATAAAACATCATCCTAGTTATTATGATCTGAAATATTCTCTGATAGAAAAATATCAGAAGGATCTGAGGGATAACAATGATGAAATATGGTCATCAGCCGACGCAGAAGACATCGTCGGATATACTTGGGATCAATACTATTCAACGGATAAAGATGCCCAAAACGCGTTGATTTATTTTAAAATAACACAGTCAACCAACTGAAGGATTGACGGCAGCAACTCAACAAATCAGACTTCCAAAAATAGTTTTACCAACATTTGATGGAGACTATTTGAAATGGATTGAATTTAGAGATTTGTTTCAAAAATTAATCCATGATCAATCAATAAGCGCAGTTCACAAAATGTTCCATCTATCTACAAATTTGGCGGGTGAGCCGAAAGCCCTCATACGGCATCTGCCAATTTCCGAGCAAAATTACAATATAGCTTGGGATATTCTGTCAAATCGGTATGACAACAAACAACTCTTGGTGACAGCATTACTAAATAAATTGTTATCACAACCAAATATAACAATTGAATCAGCAAGCAGTCTTAAGGGCATACATGATGTTACAAAAGAATGTTATTATGGATTAGCAGCTCAAGGTATTGATGTTAAATCTTGAGACGCCATAATGGTTCACGTAATTATTAGAAAGCTAGACAAAGCTTCACATACAGCATTCGAGCAATCGTTAGAAGACAGCCGAAGAATAATTTCATTAAAAGAATTATTGCGGTTCCTAGAAGGAAGATTTCAGGCATTCGAATCAATGACGAATGGAAACCACAAACAAAGTCACAAACCACGACATCCAGCAGTAGCACTTGCAGCTACAGACTCAGGATCAAAATGTATTACTTGCAATAGTAGTCATCAATTATTTTCATGTGAAACTTTCAAACGTAAATCCATACAACAGAAGTATGATTTACTAAAACGTCATAAATTATGCACAAACTGCATGAAACCTGGTCATATGGCATTACAATGCTCCAGCAGGAGTTGTACTATATGCCAAAGAAGACATAATACACTGTTGCATCAAAATAGACACCCAGTTCAACCATCAAATCATAAGTTAGTTCAAAACACTTCAAGGCCACTTGCACAAACAACTCTAATGTCATCCATCAATCATGGTCATACCAGTTGTGTTCTTTTGGGAACAGCAAAACTTTTAGCATCTAACTCTAATGGAAGAACAGTCGAGTGCAGAGTAGTATTGGATTCAGGTTTACAAATAAATATTGTGACTGAACGACTGGCATCCAGATTGGGTCTGCAAGTAAGCTCCAGTTCGATTTGCATCGAAGGCATAGGGATAGGTAAATTCAGTTCTAAAAGTCGTACAACACTTTCTGTGCAATCAAAAGCGACCGATTACAAAATAATACTTGAAGCATTTGTGTTGCCAAAAATTGTATCCAATCAACCATCGCAACACTTACAAATTTCAAATTGGAATCTGCCCAATAACATCCAATTAGCAGATCCTACATTTTATAAGTCTGACAAAATTGAAATGTTGCTTGGAGCAGAATTTTATCATCAACTCCTAAGTCCTGGTCAAATACAACTTTCAAGGGAACTACCAATTCTACAGAACACTGTGCTCGGATGGATCGTATCTGGAAAAATCCAAAATGCTAACACAATGATTGCAACATGTGGAATAGCATCAGAAGATAGTTTAGAAAATGCAATATAACAACTTTGGAAGGTTGAAGAAGTTGATACTCACTCAAAGGTCTTGTCAATAGCAGAGCAACAATGTGAAGCTCAATTCACTCAAACTACATATCAGAATGTTACGGGACGATTCATCGTACGTCTTCCTTTTATAAATGACAGATTCGCTTTGGGAGATTTGAAAGACATTGCTACAAATAGATTTCTAGCACTAGAGCGTAGACTTTCAAAGGATAGTCACCTCAAACGACAATACATAGAGTTTTTAGATGAATATGAAAAATTGGGACATATGACCGAAATAGATATTGAAAGGATTATGTCACCACATTACTTTATCCCACACCATTGTGTGCTTAAACCCGACAGTACCACCACCAAGTTACGTGTGGTATTTGATGCATCATCCAAAACAACATCAGGGCAATCTCTCAATGATTTACTACATATCGGACCAACTGTTGAAAGTGAATTACTGTCTATTTTATTACGATTCCGTCTTCCTCGTTATGTGTTTACAACAGACATTGAAAAGATGTACCAACAAATACTTGTACATCCAGAAGACAGACAATGTCAGCTTATCGTTTGGAGAAATGAACCAAGTCAACTTATAAAATACTTTGAACTCAACACAGTAACATATGGTACTAGATCAGCACCGTATCTAGCAACCAAATGTTTGCAAGTTTTAGCTGATGACAATATGCAAAATTCATTCCTCACCACTGGAGTGGACTTTTGCGGACCTTTTTGGATACATTACAGAATCCGAGGCAAGAAACCACACAAGGCATACATTGCTGTGTACTGTTGTTTTACAATTAAAGCAGTTCATCTCGAAGCATTCATCGGATCACTGAAACGTTTTATTGCTCGAAGAGGACATTGCAAGAATTTGTTTTGTGACAATGCCACAAATTTCGTGGGAGCAAGCAATCAATTACTTGAACTTGCAGACTCAATTCAAACAAGCAAGGCACAAGAGAAGATAATTAATGAATGCAATGAAAGAGGAATAACATTTAAATTTATACCTCCTCGTGCACCACACTTCGGTGGACTGTGGGAAGCAGCAGTCAAATCAGCAAAACACTTATTGATACGAAGTACTAAGACCACGTCACTAACATATGAGGAACTAGAGACTGTGGTATTAGAAGTTGAAGCAATACTGAACTCTCGACCATTGACACCTATGTCGAGTAATCCGAATGACTTGTCAGCACTAACACCTGGTCATTTCTTAATCGGAGAACCACTCACAGCAATGGCAGATGCAAAGGCCCAATCAGGAAATATAAATCTGGTGACAAGGTGGAAATTAGTTTCTCGCCTCAAATTGAACTTTTGGGAACGTTGGAAAACCGAGTACCTCACTGAACTACAATGTCGACACAAATGGAAAGCAGCCAATCCAAATATAAAAAAAGGTACCCTTGTAATCATCAAGGAAGACAATGTTCCTACATTAAAATGGCCGCTTGGACGTATTTCAAAGGTATATAAGGGAGATGACGGTCTTGTTCGCGTGGTTGATGTTAAAATGGCTTCAGGAACTCTAAGACGTCATTTGACAAGACTAGCGCCTCTGTTTCCAGCCGATAACCAATCTCCTGTTTCTGATGAACAACTTTCAAAAAGTTTTACAAAAGCGAATTCGAAAACAACACACGAAGGCGCAGTTCAAGACGAGCCACCTAAAAAGTATTCACGGCCAATGTCTAATTCATTACTGTGCACAATGTTATTATCTCTATTATTCCTGCCATTGGTATTAGGGAATTCAGTGAATGTAACACGTTTCGACAATAATTTAGGAATATACTTTGAATCCATTGGCTTGATGAAAGTAGCAACGGCAGAATGGAAAATGATTGTTTA